AAAGTCACAAGGGATTCTGTTCATGTGGAAATACCAATGGGCTGATTCCATTATTTAAACCAGTGACTGCTTGTTAATCTTTGCTAAATCTTGAGCACAGTGAGTATATATTTTTAGAATTGTGCTAAATAGCCAACATCTGTATTTGCACATGTGAGTGAGGTCGCAGGAATGTCTTATTCACAGTTAATTAGTCTAAAAAAATAAATACAATTAAAAAAATAAAATACTGATTTAATACTTCAATGTTTGTATTTAATCAGAATATCGTATACTGTATGTCCCCATATCCTGACATATTTTCATGATACTACATGCAACAGTTGAACAATGAGTTGTTGACTCCAGCTGAATGCAGAAAATGTGAGTGTGATTGTGTCCGAATGCATGTTCACATGCATTTGTGTGTGTGTGACTTTGAGATCAAGGAATGGAGAGCCTTATTAAAGGATGCCATCTAACAAGCTAAATCGTTTAATCGCCTGCACAGCAGCTGAAGATTTAGACCCCGTCTGAGCACAGAGCGCCCCAGCTAAAGACCGTTCACACTCACAGTTCTTTCACCACTCTGCTATAGCTCTAGACAGCAATTACTCACACAGATAGGGAGTCAATATTCAGACACACTGCAGTTATTTCTTGGGTACATGCTGCAAGATAGGAAAAGCATTCGCTGAATCTACTGGCACTTGGGGCAAGACATGCAGTCTGGAGTAACGTAAACGCAGCTATGGACTTGTCTTAGATTGCATCCAAATTTCACATACTATCCATCCTAAATAGTACACACTATGTGTGTGAGTTTAGATCTCACAATTCTGAAATGACATCTTGCAATTAAGACTTTTTTTCTTCAAAAATGATGAGTTCATAATACACAAATCGGACACTATATCGTAGTGTGAATTTCGCAGTGCGATACATATGTTAAGATATAAAGTCACACTGCATTAAAAATTCTGAATTGTGTGTTATTGTCAGGTTTCTGGACTGTCTGTGTTGTGTTTTTGCTCCCCACGTGCTTTCCATGACCCAGTTTTCCCTCATGTGCAATTTAATGTTAATTTACATTATTACATTAGATCCAGGTGTTCCTCGTCATCCCATCCTCTAGTCTTGTGTATTTAAAGTGTTTCCTGTTTTGAGTTCTTTGTCTGGTATTGAATGTCTGTGAACGTCATCCTTGTGTTCTGTGTCTCCTGTTGGATAATTAAAGACTCTTGTTTTGGAAAATCTCTACGTCTCCTCGTTTCCTCGATCCCATGCTCCAACGGATCGTGATAGTTATAAACCCACAATTTAGAGGAAAAAAGTGATAAGTGTGGCACAAAACCACAAATCAGAGAAAGAAGTTGAAATTGCGAGATATAAACTCAAGGCAAGGAAGGAAAAAAGTCAGGATTGTGAGTAAATCAAAATTGTGATATTTATAATCTTGGAACTGCAACAAATAAAGATATAATTGAGATAATATCACAATTCCCATATGGAGACAGACTGGCCTCATTAATAATTCATGCAAAAGATATGATGCACAAATATTTGAAACTTAATTCACATGGCAATAAGTCTGCAAGATTTTTTCAAGTAACGTTAACAAATTGCAATTTACAGTGTATGATAAAGATTATCATATCTTTTTTTAACAAATGCAAAACACAATTCACAGATATAACTTTGCACAAGAAGTTTTGAATGTTTAAAATTGAGTTTATTACTGAATCGGCTACATTTGTGCAACATATCTTTTGCATGAATATCAATGAGACCAATCTGGCTCTATATTAGCTTTTTATTTATTTATTTTGTGTTCTGTGGCAGAAACAGGCTTCCATATATTTTCCTGTAAAAACATACTTCCTTTAAACAGAGGTCATGACACACAACACTGGCTGGAGGTTTTCTTTAAGATGTTATGTAAAGTGTATGTCCATTCAACCTTTTTGTCCTTGGCTGTGACACTTATCTGAAGGCTCAAGTGTATGTTTGTTTGTTGTTTAAATGCACCTTTTGAATGATATAAATATGTGCAACAGATCCTACAGATGCATTGTGTGTGCGCCGCCTTTAGACTGCTGTACACATCACTTATTCATAATGCTTTGTCCTACATGTGCTTTTTAAAAAATAATTAACAATAACTAAAAATTCTTATGGATCAGTTCTGAATCACTACGCATCAGTGAATCAATTTTGCTCCATTAACTACAAAAAACAGCAGAATAAGAGCGAGGGGACAAACACTCATCTATTCTCTCAGCTCTTTAACTCTCTGCATCTATCAATCTCCACCTGTCTGACAGTTCTTTTTATTCTGTCCCTGAAGAGGAGACGACCTTGACTCTTATGTCTCCTGGTGTGTGAAGCCAACAGTGAGCCAGTAATTTTCTCAAAATTATTCCGTTTGCACTCTTTCCCCTCTCGACATTTCAGTATATCTCTGTCTCTCCCAATTTCGGAGTGTGTCTCTCTCCAATTTTCATATTCTCAGGATTTTATTACCCGTACAAATTTTTATGAAATGCTCAGTTGTTTTTGTCAGACCCTGGGAATAAGGGCACGGGGACGAGGTAGAGTGCATCTCTTCTGAGTTAATTGTTTCCAGAGCTGTGCTTGCGTCAACTCATTTCTCAGCCTCAGGCACAGATGAGCTCGAGGGGCTTCTGCTTCTTGTTTCTGTTCACCTGTGCGGGATCGGTGGCAGCTCACAGACAGACCTGAGTAATAAATCTGCACTTAATAAAAGTCTATAGGCTCTCATTATAAACCTGCCAGTCACATTTCTGTCAATATTTGCATTAGCAATCAAATTTAATGTTCTTCTTCTTTTCTTATCTTATCTAAGCACACATTGTTATAGGATGTAATAGGTGTACTTTTGTAATTGTAATTTGTCATATTCTACCGCTGAAATATGAAATGAATGCAGTATTTTTTAGATTATATTGTCATATCTGTACAATTATTTTAATGTTGTATTTTGTAACCACCCTACCCTTCCAAACACAGAAAAAAATGCTACTGCTTGTATTTTTTTTCTTTTTTACAATTGAACAAATCGGCTGTTCATAGAGTCAATAGTTATGTTTACATGCACTCATTTTCCTCAATCTGAATGAATCCAGTCTGATTTCATATTCTGAACTTTCGCAATCAGATTCACTTGTTTGTTTGCAGTTCATGTATTCTAAACAAAACCTCAACATAAGCGCAGTTGCCATGTTCAGAACCAGATAAAGTGAATGTTACCGGAGCTGACATATACATCAAAAGAGCTTTTTAAGCAAATATTTAGTAAGTATTCAGTCACCATTTACCAGTTTGTAACACATAAGACTTACATAAACATACACATGTTCATAAGACATAAAAGGTATGAAAACATACACATCACTCCACACGTACAGAAGGTAGGTTTGAATTTGATTGAGAAATTCGTTCCTATTGATCACATTACTTCAGGTCTGCATCACCCTTTCCAATCCTATTGAAATTTTATTCAGATCTACCGAGTGAGGTGTATTTTCAATGCAATTGAGCCATCAATCCCATTACTAATGGATTATTCGGTTGCATGTAAACTTTGCTAATGTTTAAGACTGACAACCATATTCCATTTTTATACCAGGTGTGACTCTCAAATCGTCCTGTATATTTAAAGGGTGACAAGAATGGATCAAATGACGTCTGCATAGACAGGCATCAGGGACAATCCTCTTCTCTAACTCATGAATAATGCATGTAACCACAGAGAAAGAAACCCATATACCTGTAGCAAATAACAAAACTTATCGTCTTCACGGATTTGATTCTTATTCTCAACTGTTTGGCATTTCAAAATACTGGTTCCAACTCTTTCCAAACTCCCCAGCCTCACAATATTTTTAAATTTTTCATAACCTGAGTGGTTTATAGCACTCACATTAGTGACAGGCAGGAATGATATAGCCAGACTTATGTAACGTACTGCACATCAATGATGTGACGACAGCAGGTCTTTTCATACACATATTAACTGAACTTCCTCTCAAAAATCAGCTGTGACTTTATATTTCATGTACTGAGTCTGATTATAATTCAAGTTTCTTTCGTAATCAAACACAACCATACCTACTTTTAAAAACAGTACTTATTATGGAAATAACTTTAAAAGAATAAACTGAATGTAATGTTTTTAGACACTTAACTGTATGTTATAAATAAAAATTTATTATAGTGTAAATTTATATTAAATGCGATTAAGTAAACTTAAGAGTGTTTTTGACCCACTGAAGTAAGTCTTAAGTACATATTTATATGTAATTTAATAATTACTTCTTTTGTCTTTTTAGATTACTTCTTTGATTATATATTTTGTAATTACATATTTGTAACGATGAAGCAGCAATTTAGTACATTTAAATTAATTTACATTCAATTTAATATCAAATAACACACTACAGTTACAATTATAATCAAGTACTTTACATGTGCTTAAGTATGTTAGTCAACACATCAAAATAAGTGTACCTCATTAAAGCATGACAAAAGTTTATTAAAATTTTAAATGTACTTAAATAATAAACTTTTAATTTGATATTACTACAAAGTGCATGAAAGTGTACTCTCTTTAAGTGGCCTTTTACTTCAATAATACTATATTATAATAAATAAGAAATGAATTATATAAAAATATACTTTTAAGATTCAAAGTACACTCCAAGTGCGAATTCAGTACAATAAAGCACACTTCTTTTTCACAAGGGTGTTTATCGTTCCAAATGGGATTGGCAACTGTATTACACTGCTGTGTGAACATAGTTGTTTTTTTAGTGGAATGTGCTACAATAAATGACAACACGTAACAAGTCCAAGCCAAAAAAAATTAGATCGGTTCTTCAAACCAATGACAGTCAGACAATGTGAGCAAGAGCTTTTTCATTTGACATATGTGACATCTAACATCAGCCTGCCATTAGTACTTGACATCGTTTTCCCACCCCATCGCATGTCACACTTACCACGGGCTTTCTGGCTGATGTCCCGGAGAAGCACTTCATAACGGACGGGTTCATCATCCTCATTAAACACCATGTCATCTGCCGTGATGTTGTCCTCGCGCATCTGTGTGTACGGCCCCTCCACGGCAAAGTAGCACGGCCGGTCATCGTTCTTATTATCGCTAAACATGAGCAGGGCGTGTTTGTGCCACCCGAAATGCCGGTGCATCCTGACCACAAACTCGCCCAGCTTCTTGTGCGTGGGGCCGATGTTGGTGATGGATGAGTACAAATTGAAACCTAGTGCTCTCGCTCCACCCGTGATCATCGGAACCTCCCAATGTGTGGTGAAACGGGCCACCGGTGAGGACGAGTAGTCACATCCCGGCCCGATGAAAGCCCAGGGGTTATATGAAAACTTCAGGTCCACGGCCACGAGAGGAGCCACTGAATCCGAACACACTCCTTCCTTGTTTTCGCTGCTGTTGAAAACCAGTTGTAGATGGTAGCCTGGCAGCAGGTTGGGGTCAGAGTTCACCTTGTCCAGGGCCCAGTGCAAGGCAGGGCTGACCCGGGGCCATGCCCAGGGGTACTCAGTGTTGTGTAGAGGCAGGATGACTGCCAGGGTGATGTTCTGTTGAGGTGGATGGGGACTGAGAGACTTAGGCTGGTTTTGAGCGAGGGGCTCCAGTTCAACCACTCCAAATGACACACCGCTCAGCAGAACTAGAAGAGTGAGCCTCAGCGGCCCCATCAGGAACACTTCCATTCTCAAAATAGATGGGAAGGACTAAGACTCTGAAAACATCAAGACAGAGACACACTTGAGACATACTTTCAGCAGAACTGAAAATGTCCTTCATTCACAAAGTTACTTGTGACAGAAATTAAACGAGAAAATTGTGTACAAATAAAAACATCTACAACAATAAGCAGAGGTTCTTCAGTGGAAAAAAAGATTCTTCCGATAATTAAAAGGTTCTTCACGCTAAGAAAAAAAAAATGCTTCTCTTAAAAACGGTTTCATGAAAGGTTCTTTGGGAAACCCATAATGGTTCTTTAATGGCTTTGCTAGGAAAAAAATATACATAGGAGTACACGTATCAAATATAGCCTATGCTGTAGCCTATATATCTGATAACACTTTAGTATACCAATTCTCACTATTAACTAGTTGCTTATTAGCACGCCAATTATTAACATATTGGCTGTTTATTAGTATACATAAAGCACATATTCTGCATGACCATATTCTACATCCCTAACCCTACCCAATTCCTAAACTTAACAACTACCATACTAACTATTAATAAGCAACACATTAGAAGTTTATTGAGGTAAAAGTCGTAGTTAATCGTTTGATAATAGCGACAATTGGACCTCAAAATAAAGTGTGACCATATATTTTTCATAATTGAGTAGACTACGATATGTAATGTTGCATATGACGCGTTCTGGCGTTCAACGACATCTGGACGGAGCGCAAACGAATGAAACTGAACCAGGGGGTCTGGAGACGCGTTACTAACAGTTTAGCTTAACTATTTTCATCTTACACATCTTAAAACGCAAAGCTGAAAAAAAAAAACCCGTTGAACTTCTTAAACGTGACGCAAGTGTATGCTACAGACCAACGGCGTAGTCGACGGGGACGCAAGAGCGCGCTCTCACTTCAACCCTTCAACCTAATATATTACAGCACACTTTTGATATAAAACATAATTTAACAGTCAAGAACAGTAAAAATAGTTCAATTCATATTTTACCACAGATCAGGTCGTCATTTGGTGTCATAATCCCTCTGCAATCCTAGCCTTCCTCCAAAAATTAAAATCAGTGTCTCGTGAATGCGGCGAAAAACTCCTGTTCTCTCAGAGAAAACACGTTGATTTTTACAGCTCAAACCGACTCATCCAACTTACAGGAGCGAAACTTTAGTATCGTGACCCTCTCCACAGAAACCAGCATGATTTCTCAAGCTCTCCTCTTTCTCCGAATGCGCTGAGGAAACGGGATTCGCAAAGAGGAAATCTTTCCCTTTCCTGGTGCGCCTGTGAATTTCTTGGAAAATTTGTTAATGAGTACTGAGGCTTCTTTAGTTAAAAACTGTTGAACATGTCCTCTGCTCCTTGCTCTTGTCCCGACTGGAGAAGATGGGCAAAATCTCAGCGGGTGTAGATTTGATTCAGTATGCGCGCGATGTCACAACAAAAAGTGAAATCAAAGTGAAAAACAAGCTTACATTTGCATCTACAAAACTCGACTTTTTTATTTTACAAAATAAAACGAAAGGTGCGGGTTTAATGTGATTGCACGTCTATGTTTGAAGGCTGTTCTCATCCAATGAGTGTTGTTGGGCCAGTCAAAGCGCCGTGAAGCTCAAGGTGGGAGGAGGAGAGAACTGAGAGAGGGAATGACACACTGTGCTAGTCTAAGTGCAGGCGGGAGAGGAGGAGGAGAAAGAGAGAGATGTAGAAAGAATGTTTACAGCACTGTTGCGCAGCCATGTGGCATCATTACCCCGTCTCTGTCATCAGAACCTCAGATAGATAGATAGATAGATAGATAGATAGAACAATTGCTTGAAAGAGTGATCAATTTATAGACAGAACACTCGATCAAAGAAATGAACAACTGACAGAACAGTCGATTGAAAGAGAATGATCAATACACAGAATGACAAAATGATAGACAGACAGACAGATAGATAGCCAGTCAATCAAAATAACGATCGATTGACAGATAGAACAGTTGAACAAAAGATAGGCTAGAACAATCGAGAGAGCAATCAATAGATAGAATGATAAACTGATATATTGATAGATAGACAGAGCAATTGAAATATAGAACGATCGATAGATCAATCAATCAATAGTTAGAACAATAGATCTACAGAATGACAGATAAATAGAATATTTGATAGATTGATAGCTGATTGAACTGTAGAATAGACATAACTAATATTTTTATAGTGCTGTCAAACGATTAGTCGTGATTAATCGCAGCCAAAATAAAAGTTTTTGTTTGCATAATATATGCATGTGTGCTGTGTATATTTATTATGTATATATACACACACACACACACATGCATGTATATATTTCAGATAAATATGTTTATATATTAATTATATTTATTTATAATAAACATTTTATGAATATAAATATAGACATGTAAATACATGTAAATATTTTCAAAATATATACTGTATGCGTGTGTCTTTATCTATACATAATGAATATACACAGAACACACATATATTATGCAAACAAAAACTTTTATTTTGGATGCGATTAATTGTTTGACAGCACTAATTTTTTATAATAAAAATAGATAGACAGACAGACAGATAGATAGATAGACAAATAGATAAAACAACAGAACATGCATTCTTAATTTTTAAATGTATTTCTTTTTTTAAAAACGTACAATATAGCATTTTTACATTTAGTTACCCCAGTGGTTACAGCCATATATTTTTATGGTCATATATTGTGTGTGTGAGCGCGCATTTTAAATGAATACTGATTGATAAGGACATTTGTGGCTCTGTGATTGTGAATGAATCATTTGTTTAGGAATTACATTGCTGCTTGACATATGCTTGTTGTAGCTACAAGATGACTGTGCCCTACACAGGATGAGAAGCCACTTTATCATTGTGTAACAATGACTTGACCTCTTGCATGGGAATACACTGGAAAAATAGTTTGCAGGATAGATGAGAAAGCCGGACTTGTCGTGTTGTCCCTGCCACTGTGCTAGTGTTTGGTGTGAGGCGAGGTGAGGTGGGGTCCCTTTCGACCTCAGGCATTTTAATCACATGCCTTTCTTCCTCCTCATTGTTCCAGCTTTTTCGCCCACTTCCTCCCAATTAAAACAGTCTATTTTTGTGCAGTCTGTTACGCTTTTATTGGCTTCTGCTCCGTCCTCTCCTCCGCTCTGTTCTGTTCTCCATTCGGCCTTCTGCGGGAGCGTCTCATCTTGTGCGCCCTCAGCAGCACTCACCCTGACAAACAACTTCCAGATCAATAAAGCACAGGGAGGACTTCAGCCGCTGGCTTCCCATATGCAGAGCGTGCCGGGAAAAACATGTTGCGTGCCAGGCCAGCACCTCCCGGTTATGGCTGGTCATAAATAAGAAGCGTAGGAGAGGGCTGGACAGCTGATAAATTGTGAGCCACTTTCTCTTTCCCCGCCTCCAGGAGGGCCGATGTGTTACTTTCAAACTTCTACCACTGTCCTTGTGACCCAGCTGACCAAATGCCCTACATTCATTCCCTGATTGCCCATGCTGCTTATCCGGACCCCCCTCGCACCTTTGACCTCATCCGGTCAGCCACACACATACCAGTAGCTACAGTTTCCAAAACAGGATATGTTGCACCCTTACTCATTCTGTCACTCGCTCTTTCTCTGACAATGCTCAATTGCTACCATGTTACTCTTGCTATTTTTGCAGTATATAGTAAGTATACGGTGTGCAGTATAATAAATTCCTTTGTGCATTAAATACCTGTCCCCTCTACCAAAATGTGTAGTGCATCAGAGCACACCTCAATCAAAAAAGGAACTGGAAGTTGCATCGGCAGAAAAAAGTCCTGCAAATGTTACAACATTGTGGCTATAGATTAAAAATGTATACCATTTTAAAAAGTCAATTTGTTTTCAGAGATGAAATGACGTCACTTGTTACGTAATAAAATCATAGCAAATGTATCATGTATCATATCTCGAGGGCTGAAAAACTTCAGACAATTACACATCTGAAGAAATATTTAAATGAGGAATTTTTGGTCAAATAATGAGCTATTTTCTGTATGATTTAATTTTTTACTTAGTGTTATTTTGTTCCAAGTAAATCACATATTGGCTTGTATAACATCAAATAATAATACTGTACATTACAAATAATAGCATTAAATAACTAATATTTTTGATAAAATAGATGAACGGATAGATAGATAGATAGACAGAGACAGACTGTCAGATAGATAGATAGATAGATAAAAATGGACAGACATTGTAGGATAGATAGATAGACAGATAAAGACAGACAGACTGTCAGATAGATAGATAGATTTTTAAAAACATTTATGCATTATGCATTGGCTTTCACACACTACACTTAAAAACTAGTAGGCATGCAGTATATACTGCACAGTACGCAGTAGGCCATTTAGAACACAGCCTCTCTCTTTGTAGCATTTCCAGGGTTGTTATTATGGGTAACCTCCTCTCATCTCTTCCCTCTCCTCCCTCTCTCCAACGTTCTTCTGTATTACTCACTCAAACTTAGAGGAGTTCAACCTCCAATAAATCCTCCACATTCAAAGTTCTCTTCTCAGTTACAAACAAACACAAGTGAGCTTTACCAGTGATGTATGTAATCACTATATTGTAAAAACGGAACAGCCTACACACATTCCTGTGCGTGCAAAAATACGCACAAACTGTTCTTGCTTGTTTTGTTTTGTTTTGGTCTGGATTCTTCATGGCCTAATGAAACTGCTTCCTCCCTCTGTGTTTCCAGGATGTTTGATGTTTGGAGTGATCTCTCATCCTTTTTTGTGGTCTTTGGTCATTGGCCTATAAACCTCACGATGCAACAAGAAGAGGTCTGGAATCACGTTGCGGAAATGAACAAGGAGGACATGCCTCTGTGTGAGAGTGTGTCAAGTGTCTTGATCTTAATAGCTGTGTAAACAGGTCATTTGCATCTCATCTCTCCTCTGGATCGAGAAGTGGTCTGATGCATTACCTCAGCACGGATAAGTCAGCCCCATAATGACGCTTTGCATCTGCTCAGCAGTGACTTCCTGCGTGTGTACGTGGGAGGAAACTCTCGACTCCCTCTCCCTTTTCCTAACTCTCTTTCTTGCTCTGTTTCCCCTCAAAGCACCTTTACCAGGTCCCTTTATTGAAAAACACAATGATTTTTCTTTGGAATAACATCCTTTCTGATCCTCTGGTTGTTTTACACTACAGATCTGGCGTTTGGTTAGATAACCGCTGCTTTCACACATCGTTATTTTGCCGCTTTGGTAGGAGATCATTAGGCAGAAGTGGTGTAAGTGTACTTTGGGAAGAGATGTCAGCAGTTTTTGGTATAGTCTGAATCACAGTACATACACAAAAATAACCTGTGGCCTCTCTTACAGCACGAGTCCTACTCAAGTTTACCATGGCAACCAATATCGGCCAGTTGCCTTGTTACAAACCAGAAGTGATCAGATTTGTAGATAAATTCTATAAAAATGCCTTACTGTCACACAATAATATTAATAAAAACAACAGCTACCACAAATGTAACCAGATAATTACATTTTCTTAAGGCACTTGCGTAATCTCTATGATATTCTGATCTCTAGGTATAACTTAGATCAATGTAAGTCTAAAAGTGCAGCCACATTTACCATTGCATGTTTAGGAATTTCACATAAGGGCATACAAAGTTTTTCATGTGAACTTGACACCCTGACCAAAAGAAGGCTGCTTGGTTTAAAAGTGATTTCTGTGTGAGTAGTAGTTTGTGCATCACTACACCATTAACAATGGACTTTTTTTTGCTGTAAAAAATGGCTAATGTGACTGTGCCTTAATTCAGTGGTTACCAATCCAGACCCTGGATTTCCACCAACTCTGCACATTTTGTATGTCTCTCTAATAAAACACATTGATTCAACTCATCAGCTCATAAGTAGAGACCTCAAGACCTGAAATTGTTGTGCCAGTTGAGAGAGACATCTGAAGTAAGCATTGTTGGAGGTACTCCAGGACCAGGTGTGGAAAGCACTGGCTTAGGGGATTTTATCGTCCACCAGGCAAAAACATAAGTCTGATTGCTTAAAAACTCTTCCTAATAAGCCACACAATATGAAGTATCATCCATGTCCATAGCACACACTTTTATGGGTTTTATTAAATATTTTTGTGCATTATCTTGTAAAGAGTACCGTTTTAAATACGGCAAAAGGTCGATTATAATAATGTTCCTGGAATAAAAAGATCAAGTACAGTCTGAATGATAAATGTGAGATTTTAAATACAGATCAGACTTCTACTGTCTTCACTTTAGGTTTAATTTTCAGAATTTCTTGTCATTTTACTTCAGGAAACCGTGATTGAATTGATTCAAATTGAAAAGAGAATTAATAAATTGTGGCTGTGTCTTCAGAACATCCACTTAATCTGATACGAGTTAACTACATGATCATGTGACAGATAGCCTTGGTCAAACCCAATTTGGAAAAAGAACACGAACAAAGCCAGTTCAAGTGAAATAAGCATGAATTTCTGTGAAACAAAAGCTACCATAGAATATGAAGTTTGTCAAGGACATGGTCACCAATTGCTAGGCTCAAGTTTTGAAATGTGTA